TCTCTCTCTCTCTCTCTCTCTCTCTCTCAAACTGTCCCAGTGAAACTGCCTCTGCCCCCTCTCTGGACTGCCCCTCAAATAACTTCCCTTTCCTCTCATGAAAGTTGGGCAGATCCTATTCTGTCAATTCTTTCTCTGATTCATCTCTTTGTCTGCCACTCAGCTACATCACTTGCCTTCTTCTGCAAACTAACTTTAGCTTCATGGTTTAGGAATAAAGATATACTAAGAGTATGTCTGTATTCCAGCCAGAGGGATTAAAGATGTGTGCTAAGGGCTGAACCACACCACAACTCTAGAAACAGAGTTTTTCAGTAAATAACACAATCTCGGGATTCGATGTGTGATCAAATATCTTGCAAACACTCTGCTGCATTGAGGTAGGGGGTGAGCCTCCAGATACAATCAGAGTACAACGCAGCACAGCCAGGGCCATTTCTAATGTCATAGGTCACCATATTCATCTCAAACCAAGTGGTTTTGTCTCTCTGCATTCAGGATACCTGAGTTGCATCTAGGGAAAAATAGTCTTATTGAAGGCTGAAAACTCTTCTCACAGTCTCTGAGCTATTTAGGTTTCAAAGGCTTCCAGATCCAGCATTAGCTGACAGGGCCTCTGCAGCAGTCTTTTGTTGATGTAGCTTCCATGTTAAAACCGGCTGGAGAGGGAGGCGTGCAGGAAGCTGGAGACTGACGGCCAGATGAGTACTTGTGTGGATGCCTCAGTCTGGCACGACTATCTTCTTCAGGCTGACACACCCAGATATCAGCACCACTAAGGATTTTGACTACCTGGTGAAGGCCAAGGTTGCTGGACTATGACCATCCAAGATGGAATAGGAGCTGCCTCTGCAGCATGATAGGAGGACTGTCATAGAAACCATGACACTGGAGTAGAGGAACGTTCATATTGTGACCTATTATTATGGTCATTGTCAACTTGACACAACCTAGAATCTCATGGTAGAAAATGAGTCTTAATAAGGACTTGTCTATATAGTTGAATAGGGCCATGAGCATGTCTGTGAGAGGTTGTCTTAATATAGGAAGTAGCCCATCATGGGTCTTTCTTTGTACCAGTCCCTAGGCAGAGGGTCCTGAACTGTGTAAAAGTGGAGAAATTGATCTGAGTACAAGCAAGCAAGCCATTGAGCAGGTTTGTACTCATTTCTCTCTGCTCTGGGATGGGATGGGATGTGACTAGATGTCTGAGTCTCTGTTTGACTCTCCCACAATGGTGGACTATATCCTGGAATTGTAAGAGTGTCCTTATCTCTCCTAAGTTGCTTTTTGTCAAGGTATTTTATCAGAGCAACAGAAATAAACCTAGAACAATTGCTAAGGGGTATAGTTTCAGAGGGCCAGATCAAGACTCAAAAAAAGAGCACTCAGCAAATTTATAGAAACTATGGTAGTTACTAACTTACAGAGACCTCAGGAATCAGTCAATCTTCACAGCTGGTGAATGGACCTGTGGGTGCTAAATTACTTAGACAATCAATCCTTAGATCCAAATTCACAAAAAACTGGATGAGGGATGCTTCCACTCTATCTTCTCAGGGAGGTCCACGAAAGGGCAATAAGATAGAGATATTTCCCAATGGAAAGGATCTAGAGCAGTCATTCCGGTATCCAGAAGGAAGTGCTGTAATAAGTCTTTTGTCTTATTCCAAATGGAAGAGTTTTGTAAAAAAAAAATAATTATGGTTTAATCTTCATGTAGGAGTGGATAAATTACCCTTCTGGGCACATACCACAAAAATCTTAATAATACATCTAGACCTGATCAAGAATCCCCACATCGTAAGAAACCAGGACTGGGTCGAACAATTGTGTTTGTAACTGCTTTATCTCTCATCAGAAAGTCAAGGTTGCACGCTTTGGTTGGGCCTAGGATTGTTCCACTGTGAGGCAGTTATAGTTTGGGAATTATATGCTTGCTGATAAAAGTTTAAGTGGATGCAACGGAAGGTAAACTGTGCTGGATGAATTGCTTATCTTCCGGTTATCTTTCCCTTTGGTGAACTATTATTCCCCTTCCTTATAGACCTGGAAAAAGTGGCCCAGTTTTCCATCTTAGATGTATGCACATGCTCAAGGCTGAGAAAAGTCTTCCCTGGGGATTTAGAACTAGAACTAGTGAGACCAACTATAAAAGGAAGTAGAGTCAAGAGGTAGAGAGACATCATTTAAATCCCTAGACCCAGCGACGCCCAGAGGCAAGTATGTACTTTGACCTACTGTAAGCTATTTAATTTCCTAAAGACTAAAAGGTGTTTGTGTTAAGTGTTTGATACTTGCAATGGAAAAGGGCCAAACTGTTACAAACACAGACGAACAGACGTAACACCAGGTTGCTCAAACTTAGACATTCTACAAATCTTCCATTACCTTACCAAGGGTCAATAAACTTGTCTAAGGGACCAGATAAATGTCTTAAGCTTTGTAAGCCACATAGAGCTCTGTCTTGACATTTTGTTTTGACAATCCTTTAAAACATACAAAAACTGGACTGGTGATATGGCTCAGTGGTTAAGTGCAAGTGCACTGCTCTTGCAGAGGGCCAGGTTCAGTGTGCAGTACCTTCATCTGGCAAATGACAAACACCTGTACCTCCAGTTCCAAGAAATCCAATGCCCTCTTCTGACCTCTGTGAGCACCTGCACTCATAAGCACTTCCCCACAAAGAGACAGGTACACATATTTACAGTTAAAAGAAAATATCAAAATCCTTGAAAAATTTTAAAAAATTATTCTTAAAAAAATCATTCTTAATTTGTAGGTCGTACAAAAACATGTCACAGGCCAGGTTTGGCTGACAGACCATAGTTGGCCAACCCTTGCCTTAGATCACACCAACGCCTGCAGCTAGGGAATCTAGTGTCTGCCAGACCTTCTCTCATGCCTTGTAAGGCATGAAGTTCTATTGTTTCAAATCCCTTGACATGAGTCTGAGTTAAAGCTCAGAGTAGATTTAGAAATGGTAAAGGAGTCTTGACTTATCTATAACATAATAGAATCTGAAATGCATGATTATTTCTTGGTCATACATACTTTTTTTCAAAATGATGCAGTTGCTCAAAGACTTTGTTTAACTATCCCAGGTCACCCTGGGTGACTCTTCACCTTAATCTTCAGGAAGACTTTCATGGAGTTCTCCTAACAGTTGAGCCTGAGTTAGGATTTTTCTTGCTGGTATGGACCGTATGTGCCCCTTCCTGCACTGCACCTTAATAGTCTGTTTTCTCTTAACTCCTGGTACTTGACAGTTACCTGAGTACCTGAGGTTTGTTTCTGTTTGTGCTGGTGTGTGTAAACATACACGCAGAGTACAGCGTCAGCTGTCATTCCTCAGGTGTCATCACCTAGCTTTTTTTGTCCTCAAACTCAGCTCACCAATTAGGTTGACATGGCTGGCTAGTGAGACTCAGTGAGCCGCTAGTCTCTGTTGCCCCAGTGCTGAGATTACAATCGCATGCCTGGCTTTTGTTTTGTTTTGTTGTTTGGGGTTTGTTGAGTTTTTTGTTTGTTTGTTTGTTTGGTTTTGTTTTTTAATGTGGGTTCTGAGAAACTGATTTCAGGGTCCTTGTGCTTGCAAGGTAAACACATACTAGAGACCGACTGAGCATATCTCTAGGTCCGTGAATATCTGTTCGTTTGAATGGACAGATGCCGCATATCTCCACTTGTACCTGAGGTACTCCATCTACGGGTTAGCACCGAGCTGGTGTGTATGTGCCTTGTCACCAGTTCCTCTCCCAGTGACAATTATTTGTGGATGTGAACCACACCATGCCTGGTAATGTTATTGACAAATCTAGTTTTCAGTCTTATTACTTCCAAACACCGGTCAAAGACAAGGGACAGGTCGGAACACATTTTCTTAGAAATGGCCTGGAAGGAATTATCCTCTCTCCCACCCATGTCTTTCACTGTTTCAGGTCTCCGGTGTTGGAGCAGAGTATCTCCCACTCTGTGGGGCCTCAAACTAGGTAGACCTAGGACTTCAGAATGGGAATGTAAATTATTCCCAGGGGCCCAGGAAAGGCTGACCAAGGCAAGGTGAACTGTAGTGTTCTAAGCTGAATCCTTTGCCCATGTCACAGAAGCAAGCAGGAAGCACCACCGTTGATCAGTTTTATATGGAACCCACTGTACACAACAGACGGACAAGGACAGACAGACAGAGCACACACCACTTCTAAACTGAACACTGCTCACCATCTAAAAGCACCTTGGGTAAGCACATGTGAGACACACTTGCATAGGAAAGATGTACTTTTTAAAGGAATGAATTAGTATTTTGGCAAAACATCTACTTCCCTCCCAGGTCCTGGGTAAAGAGGGACCTCTAATTCTGAAGCTTCTACATAGTGAAAAGGATCCCCTTCTCAGTGGCAGTATTTACAGCAGCAAGCCTTTCACATCTGTTATCACAGCCCTCTACATAGATCTTGAGTCTACTTTACAAGTGGGCAAACTTAGACTAAGAGACAGAAGGTGGCCTGGAGCAAGGGGACACTGGGTAGTTTTGAGGGGAGGGGAAACAGGAGGTGTCTCAGCTCAGCCAAAGGCAAGGCCTTGGTCTACCTGGACTGGGAAGGAAATGTCTCTCTCTCTCTCTCTCTCTCTCTCTCTCTCTCTCTCTCTCTCTCTCTCTCTCTCTCTTCCTACCTGGGGAGGCTGTGACTCCACAGGAAAAGGGGTCAGGAAGGAAAGGCAGGTTCCCATTTCTGATGGCTGGGGGCCTCCTAGGGTAGCAAAGACCAAAGCAGGCCTGAGCTCTTCCTGAGGCCCGTTCAGGGATACTCTCTGCGTTTTGGAACTGTGGGTTCACTGCTTCCATAACCCTCTTGTTGCTTGAATATGAGCCTAGACTTCACATCCTTTATCATATTCTTAAAGGGGGGGTAAGGGAGGAGTTTAAGAAGGAATGAGACACAGGACAATCTTTCCACAGCCTCCTCTGCCTAGGCTGGGGCTATCAAGGGTCTCCTTCACCCTGTCTCCTGGGGATATTTAAAGGCAGCTTTTATTTTATGAGACTCTATACTGTCTTCTTTTTTTTTTTTGTCTCCTGTTTTTTTCTTTGTTTTAATTTATATAGATATATATATATTCTTAAAAAAAAAGCAATAGTCCTTTGGTCCCTAAACACTAAGGAATGATATGATTTTGAATGAAGTAAGTCTGGGCTTCCCTTGCTGAGAAGCCCTTGGCACCCCCGAGGCCCTCTGCTGCTTCCCTTAGGTCAGTCGATCCTCAGCCAGCACTGGTTGCCTTGCCAGCCTGAGCACTCCATGGAACAACCCACGAGATGAGTGGCCTGAGCCCCAGGCGCCAGCCCTGGGTCCGATCCACAGCCGTCTGCCGCCACTCCTTCCGGAAGGGCCGCTCCAGCATTTCTGTGCTTTTCCGTTTCCTTTCTTCATTCTTCAGTTTCTGTTGTTGGGTATTAATTCATAAGGAGACGGGAGGGAGAAGGCTCATGTCACCTTAGAGGGTAAGACAAAAGTGGCTCTACCCCTTACCCCCACCCCCACCCCCACCCTACCCATCCCTGCCATGATGTCTTTGCTAACTGTCAGGCCTTTGATTCTGAGCAGCATCTTGGTCACAGAGACCAGCCCTTGCCTAGATCCTAGGCAGATCACTGTTGTCAGTGCCCTGCAGAGTGTTCTGGAGGGCTTGAGTGAGCTGAGGCCAAGTGGGCCTGCAAGGTCAGCACATCTCTCCAGGTTGCAGGACCTGGACTTTGTCACCTCACAGCTGTGGTCTAGCTCTTAAGGAGCGCTGCTTCTCTCCCTCCTCTTCTCACTAGCTGGTCTCTTCTTCATCCAAACTGCAGCTGTTGCTAGACTAGAACGGGCTAAATTTTCCTAGAAACCATCTCTCCAAGACTGTGGAAACATCAGGGTTGTCTAATTCATCTTAGACTCTGGGTTGAAAGAATCTGGGTCTCTGTCACCCTTGACCCTGACTCTTCTTTATTCCTGGATTTCTCAGAGGGCAGTATTCCGATGTCATAAAGCTGGCAGGGTCTTGTGACCTGGGACCCACTTGCCTAACATCCATCAAGAACTCACCTGTCTGTGACTGGTCAGCGAGCTCAGATTAGTAAGGCCTGTTGGCATCCTTAGGCCTCTTTAGCTGGACCTTGAGCCTCTTCATGCCGATTTGAAAGCCATTCATGGCCTGGATGGCAGTCTGGGCACTGGTTGGATTGTCAAAACTAACGAACCCTGGAGGGTGTAGGCACACAGGTTACCCGGGAATCCAGCTTGCTAGACTCTCTCTTTCTAGTCCCCAGGCTAGGGCCATCGCTTGTGTAACTTTTCGTTGCTTAAATATGTGAACGTGTATGGGCGCGTAGCTTGACAGAGGCTAATCATTCCTAAAGGTGTGATTCCCCGAAAGATGGGAAGGAAGTCTGGTGTGGGGACGGGATGGTGAGTTGGTCAAACTATTTCCCTGGTTTGGATCCACTGCTTTCTTTGCTCCAATCCTCCCGTTCTGGCCTCAGAACTGCAGCTGGGGGCTGGAGGCATCTCTTGATTCCAAACCCAGACTCTACTTGCTCTGGACAAACTCCAAAAGCCGTCCTGATCTCTCCCGCTCTAGTTACCCAAGATTCTTGGGTCATCTGAAATAAGGCTTGCTTTGCCCATAGTTTGTCCCATAACATTCACTCTCTGGAAGCCTTTTGTACGGTCCCTAGGGAATCCTCAGGCACAAGGATGGGTCAGCTCACCAAAGCACTTGCTCTGATTGGTGGCACGATCCACAAAGACTTTGGCAGAGACAACAGCTCCGAAGGGCAGGAATGTCTGAATGAGTTCTGCATCCCCAAACTCCTGAGGCAGGTGATAAATGAAGAGGTTGCAGCCTTCGGGGCCTGTGGAAACAGCAGCGGCTTGTTTACAAGAGGGACCTTGAAGGCTACCCCTCCAAATCACCCTGATCTCCAGCCTTCAGCCCCTCACCTTCTCTTTGTTGCTGAGGCAGAGCGGAAGGCTGCTGGGGGAAAGTTGTGCTCACTGGGGCATAGGCCGAGGGATAGGCTGCTGGAGACAGAGGTGGGGGTAGGCAGTGACCCCTAGGAGCCATTTCCCCAACAGATCCCCATCTGCCTGGCCAGCTCAGACAGATTCAACCCAGTTCACCATAACCCAAGATAGGTTGCTGAGGCTGGGGCTGAGTAGGATGGTAGGGTTGACTCCTTGGAACAGAGCCTAACCCTCCCATAAATCTCCCTATTTCTTTCCGAGGCCCTTTAACGCCCAACACCCACGCCCCCGGGCCGGGCAGTGCCAGATGAAACCTGCATAGTGATGTATCCCAGCGTAGGCCTGCTGCAGGGGGTCAGCCACACCGGGGCTCTGGGCTGGAGAGAGAGGGGACCCAAGGCCCACGATGAACGCAGGTGGACAGGGGCCAGGGGAGAGACCCTGGGTGGGAGTGTGGGAGGTGGAGGACCGCTATGAAAGGCAGCTGGGAAGATGGAATCATTCCCCACCCCACCCCCCAAGCAGGTCCTCGCTGGAAAGCCTCTCTTCCCACTCCAATTCCAGGTGGGTTGGGTCAGTAGAGTGTGGTGACCCACCTGGGTAAGGGGAAAGCCCGTTGTTATAGAGCGTGTCGGAGCCTGGCTGTCCATTGGTCTGGGGGTTCAAGGAGCCGAATCCATTGACCCCTAAGGGCGCCGGAAGGCCAGGGAGTGCACCAGGGCCATTGCCACCAGGCGATGCATTGGCTGTAGGTGAATGAGAGATTCAGAAAGTGGCACTTTATTAGTTATCCCAACCGTGGTTCTAGTCTCTTGGGTCTCTTACCTGCCGCAGGCAACAGAGGCGCAGCCACCAAGCTGAAGGCCGCCACGTGCTGCATCTGGGCGGCCACCGCGGCCACCTGGCCTAACCCGGGACCCTGCGCTGCCGCCAGCAACGCTGCCTGGTGCTGCAGGATCTTGAGGAAGGAAGGAGGGCGTGTGTAGAGGTCTCAGAGGCTAGCAACTGCCAATGTGTCCTACCTTCCCTCCGACCCCCGCCCACCCTGGCCAGCTACCTACCGCAGTGGTATAGGCGCCACAGGTCCCGAGGGGCAGCGGTGCCGGGTGGAAGGCACCCAGCTGGCCAGCCATTTGCTGCATCCTTCGCAGCGCGCGCTCCCGGTCGGTGTCTGCCAGCTTCACCACCAGGCTGGATGAGGCGCCCTGGGCAGAAGAAGGGCGCGGTGACCTGTACTGATGACTGTGCTCGGAGCCCAGTGCCTTCCCCGGCAGCCCTGGGACGCTGAGAGCCTGTGGCCTCACCCTTAGCCCAGATCCCCAGCTCTCACCGTCATTGTCCGGCTACCGTGTAGTCCCTGGATGGCAGCTTGAGCTTCTCCTTGACTCCCGAATTTCACAAAGGCACAGCCTGGTGCAGGAAAGAAGGATGGAATGATTAGGCCGCAGGAGTCAGAGCTAAGAAAAGGTCATTGGGAACTCCCAGGGGCAGTTCAGGTCACCTTTACTGGTACCGTCAGGACTCCGCAGGACAGTGCACTCCTCGATATGGCCGAAGGGCTGGAACAGACGTCTGACATCCTCCTCACCCTGCTGCTTGCCCAACATCCCCACAAACAGCTTCCGGTCCTCTGGGGACAAAGCCAGGAATGACCTGGGGCCCCAACTTGTTCCTAGACTCCCCAGAGTCGCCTGAGGAGCTTGGGAAGGTGGCTCACCAATCCAGCTCTGGGAAGACACTTAGGGAGTGAGACGGTCATGGGACCCTAAAGCTGCATCTCTTTGAGGGGCAGAGTGGCCTACAGGCAGATCTTGAGGGAAAAAACTCAGTTGAAATTTCCGTCATGAAACCTGGGTCCTGAAGAAGCTCACAGACACTCACTGCTGCTCTTGTGGGATGTGATGAAGTCTTGGAAGCTTTGGGGGCTGGGGTGGGGAGCAGAGCCCTACACATATCATGTTGTTAAGAGTTGGGCAATGCTACTGGAGACTCAGCATGCTGGGGGGTGAGATGCTTCACCATGGCCTTACTGGTCAGCTTCATGACAATGACCAGATCAATGCCCTTTCTTGCATAAATTAAGGAGAGTGCTGTCAAACAAAACAAACCCAGCATGGAAAACAGCTATCCTAGTGTACTGTCTCAGCCTTAGACACTTAGTTCTGGAGTGGCAGGATCCTTACCAACCCAGCACCAAATCTAACTGAAGAACTACAGAGGAAGTTTAGTTTACTGAGCTTCTAACATTAGCATTTTCCCCAAAAGTGCCTGTCGAGCCCCTGAACCCCTTTCCTAGTCCCCAGATCTACCCCCCTTTCCATCTCCTTGCCTAGCTTCCAGGGCCCTCTCTGAGCCCTGTAACCTGCTCTTTGGCGTATTCTTCCGTGTTAAGTTTCTCCTCTGTTGTATACGCTTTGGAAGAGCGTGTTCTGTCTGTAGACCTAGACGATCAGCTGAGAGCACGTGACCTCTCCGTGCACCCACATTTCCTGTGGGAGTGACAGAGAAAGGGACGGGATTGTTAACCAAGCCTGTGTTTCACGAGCAGAGTTACAGGGCTTGGATTTGAACTGGGGATTAGCTGTATATCTTCCAAGTCAGACCTCTGCAAGCACTATCTGAAAGCTGGGGTTTAGGGGTAGAAACCAGTGGACCTACTGTTAAGATCTGGCTTCTCTCTATACTAAAGTTAGCCTCTAAACTAGGGACAGGGCTTGCCAGTGTATGGTGAGGTGCACACTGGGAAAGAAGGGTTAGTTGGGAATCGGGCTTCAGCTTTTGCCTTTGAGATCCCAGAGCTCGGAAAAGCCCCACTCTTAAACCTCTTTACTACCTCACACTCTCGGAGGAAGAGTTCAGTCCCGAGGTGTTGCTTCCACGGGCATTAGTGGGAGAATTGAGGCCATGGAACAGACCACTGGCTTCCCAATCTCTTTAAAAAGTGACAAAAGAGATTGTGTCAGCAAAAATATTAAGATGGTGGCTGGTGAGCTGGCTCAGGGGCTAAAAGCACTTTGCTCTCAAGCCTGATGAACCCACATAGTGAAAGGAGATTACTGACTCTCGCAAGTTGTCTCTGAACACCACATACACTGCTGCGGCCTGTATGTGCACAAACACACACAATAAACAAGTAAGCAAACAAACAAAATATTAGGGTGAAGGTAAAGATGTAAGAGGAAAGCAGAAATTCTCTGACTAAAGCCAGAAAAGGGAGCTGAAATCTTCCCTGTGTGATCCAAGGAAAGGCCCTTGAAACCATTAAAAACAGAGGAAGAATTCCAGATGACTCGAGAAGGTAGGAAAAACCACGGGGCTATGCAGTGGCTAAGAGACGGAAGCATCAAAGATGGGGCTCTACCTTCCAAGAATGGAAGGAGTTGGAAGATGACATCAGTGTAGATTTGAGTCTTGATAAATATGAAATTAATGGTTTTGCCCTAACATCGGAGAACAGGCTTCATGTAGCCAGGGAAATGTCCAACATCAAACATTAAGAAGTCTGTGGTATTGTTCCAAGCTTTGACATTAAAAATATGTCGATGTCTTCAAAGGACCTGGACGTGTCTAGAGAAGATCTTGGGGCCTCCACAGTGCTAAGGGGGCTCGCGGTGCTCTAATTTATAGCGGAGTGTGTCACTGGTAGGGTCTCTAAGATATCATACTCCTGGACCAGCATCCAGGTAGCCCTATGTGAGAAGAGAGGGAGCACAAGCCAAGATGGATCCCCCAACACAGTAAAGAGGTTTGTACGCATGGTGGTCTTCCAGTTCTTCATCTAAACGTTGTGTTGCCCTTTGTTGCCCACGGTGTATATGGGGGACAAAGATGTCCTTAGTTTAGCTATCACCTCTGATTCCCCCCAACCCCAAACCTGGTCCCAGTAAGAACCTCTTGATTTGGTAATCTCCACTAGAGCACTGAGCTGACAGTTCTGGACTACTGGGGTGTACAGAATTCATCATTGAAAAGAGCACTCAGTCGGGTGGTGGTGGCGCACGCCTTTGATCCCAGCACTTGGGAGGCAGAGGCAGGCGGATTTCTGAGTTCAAGGCCAGCCTGGTCTACAGAGTGAGTTCCAGGACAGCCAGGGTTACACAGAGAAACCCTCTCTCGAAAAACCAAACCAACAAAAAGAGAAGAGAAAAGAGAAAAGAGAAAAGAGAAAAGAGAAAAGAGAAAAGAGAAAAGAGAAAAGAAAGAGAAGAGAAGAAAAGAGAAGAGAAGAGAAGAGAAGAGAAGAGAAGAGAGCAGAGCATTCATTATAAGCTAGGTTTTCTACCTGCTTCCAAGGTATCCCTTGAATTCTGGAACTTTTTTTTTTTTTTGCTACTTTCCAGAGAGTTAGCGTTTCACAGGATAATGAGCAGGGTAACAGTGACCATAAACTATAGGCTATTCAGAAATGGTGACATAACTTTAAAGGCAAGCCTGGGCCCTTAAGCGTAACACCAGATTGATGCTCATGAAGACTGTGAGGCTTACTGATTCCTCTACAGATAGAAATGATGGTGTTACCAGTCCAGATAGATCAGTTTCCTCTAAATCAAACTCTACCAGTTGGTTTAAAGGAGGATACTATAAGAACGAGGAATAAATGTGGAAGTGGAACTGGGAGCACAGCTCAAAGGGGGACCATGACAAAAAGGTATAGCATGACAAAGGCCTGGAGTTCAGTCCCAGTACTTAAAACAATCTAAAGAAAAGTATCCACAGAGGCTGCAGAGATCACTGACTGGGTAAGTGCATTGACTGCTCTTCTAGAAGACCCAGGTTTGGTTCCCAGCATCCACATCCTGGTTCACAACCATCTGTAACTGCAGTTCCAGAGGGTTTAATATTGTTCTCTGGTTTCTGTAGGCTTCAGGCACACACATGGTGCACAAACATATCTGAAGACAAAACACCTATGCACATAAAAAGTCATAACAAAGAGAGTACCTATCCTGCGGATGGTGAGCAGGTCCCTAAAGGTGACATTCATGAGGAGTCAAGGCCACTCAGCTGGACAGCATGATTATATTTTACTTTTGGCATCTGGTATACACTAGTTGTCATTCTACCAAATGTTTTAGAACTCCGAGCAAGTGGCTTATGCTGTCACATGTCCATCTCCATGAAGCTGCTTTGTGTATTTGGTCATACATATCAGGATTTCTAATGTAGAAAAGAATGGAAGAATGTACTTGAGAGCCCAGAATCTGTCTTCTGAAGAAATACCAGGACATTTAGGGCCTTTAACACATTACTTCCTCACTGATGGGATGTCATGGTCATGAGAAAATGTTGCAACCTTTGAGGACCAACCACCAAATCCATTCTGAAAACATTTAGTCTGTCTTTCAGTCCAAAGACAACCAGACAGCCCCAGAAAGACCTGCTTGGGGCAGTTGCTGCAGTAAAGCCTCCTTCGCTGGTGTTATGCTACAGCATAAGAAGCCAAGGAAGACATGGCAGTGGTGGCGCATGCCTTTAATCCCAGCACTCAAGCAGGCGACCCTGCTCATATCCGGGGTATGACAGAGGCAGGAGGAACTCTGAGTTCAAGGCCAGCCTAGTCCACAGAGTGAATGCCATGACAGCTGGGACTACACAGGAAAATCCCTGTCTCAAACAAACGAAGAGGAAGAAGAAGAAGGAAGAAGAAGCAGCAGTAGTTTGTATCCTTAATTGCTGAGCCAGTTTTTACAAATCAACTGTTTCAAAAAAAAAAAGAAGAAAAAGGAAGGAGGAAGAAGAAGAGGAGGAGGAGGAAGAAGAAGAAGAGGAGGAGGAGGAAGAGGAGGAGAGTGAGAATGAGAAGGAGAAGGAGGAGGAGGAAGAAGAGGAAGAGGAGGAAGAGGAGGAGGAGGAGGAGGAAGAGGAGGAGGAGGAGGAGGAGCAGCAGCAGCACATGACCTTAATGGCTGAGTCATTTTTTGACAATTCATTATTAACTACATTTGCCATGCTCTGTAACAACACACTAACATGTGTTCCTTTTCTTAACAGAAACCTTGAACCTTTGGCTAACATCTCCCCTTTCTCCATTCCCTTCTCCCATCAGCCACCATTAGGCACCATTCTACCCAATTCTGTGAGTTCCTTTTTAGATTTTACACAAATGAGATCATGTGGCATTTGTCCCCTGGGAAAGCAGGTTCCAAAGGACATGTCTGCATCCTCAATTACAAAGCTATTAATCACTATGGCCAAAAGATGAAAGTAACTGACACACCCATCAGCAGATCCGTGGATAAATAAGATGCAGCACTCATCCCAGTGGGCTGCTACTCAGTCTGAGAGAGGAAAAGAGTCTGACTTATCCCACCTTGAGGGAGACAGTCAGTCACCAAAATACAGGTGCTGCCTATTTTCGCTCACATGAGTTATCTGGAATAGTCTGACTCTTAGAAAAGGAGAATAGTTTGCTGGAGGCTACAAAGATGAGGAGGAGTTTAATGATTTCAAGTCTCAGGGGTTGGGTTTTGTGTGTGTGTGTGAACATTCTGTGTATGTGTTATGGGGAGTGCATGTGCACATGTGTACGAGTGGATGGGGAAGCCAGAGGTAGACACTGGGTCTCTGCCTCAGTCACTTATTTTTTGACACAAGGTCTATCACTGAACCTGCTGCCCACTAGGCTATCTG